GATGGAGGGGATGAATTTAACTAAGACATATTGTAAGCACTTTTGTAAACATCATAATGTACCCCCAGTACAACAATAATATAATAAAAAATAAATTTTAAAAAGAAGGAAAATCATAAGGAACAAACTGCTATTAAACCAGTTACACAGTATCTTCTTCACCTATATCCCACAATTCAAGGAAAGTAACATTTTGCCCCAAATTAAAGTACTCTATTATAGCCATGCAACCAGTTCCCAGAATGAAAATGGGAAAACTTTAATGACAACATCTAAGATGAAAATTAATAAATACAGAAATTATCTTAAAAAATAAAGACAGAACTGGGGCATGGCTTAAGTGGTAGAATACCTGCTTAGCAAGCATGAGGTCTTGAGATAGATCCCCAGTATCACCAAAAAAAAAAAAAAAAAAAGGTGTATAGATGAAACTATTTTTTAATGGATCCCAAAATATACAAAACTATCTTATTTGTTACCTTTGGTTTCAGATACATTCTTATTAATGGTGCAAAGTCAGCTCTGAAATTTGATTCACTATAGAAAAAGAAAGTAAGGGACACAAACAGCAAAAGAAAGGGGAAAATGTCATCCTTTTATATAAAATCAGGGAATATATTATGAATCGAGTACCAAGGACATTTACAACTCTGAATTAGGTGTGGTGATAAGCACACATTACATTACAACTACCAAAAGGTGGTCCATGTAGCTGTTACAAAGACTCTGGAGCCAGAGTGAGTCTGGGTTTAAATCCCAGCTCTGCTCCAATGTTAGTGTGATGTGGGTGAGTTACTGAATCTCTTTTATACCTCCATTTCATCTGTAAGACAATGGTATCCACTTCATTGTTAGAACATATCAATGTTAGTTACATGAGTATTAAGTTGATTACTATATGCACAGTAGTCTCCCCATACACTGTTTTACTTACGCAGTTTCAACCAGGATCCAAAAAATATTAAATGGAAAATTCCAGAAATAAATAATTCATAAGTTTTAGACAACTTTTACTACAGTATATTGTTATATTTGTTCTGGTTTATTATTAACTATTGTTAATTATCTTACTATGCCTAATTCATAAATCAAACATTATCACAGGTATTATAGGCAAAAACAGTACATACAGATGCTCCTCCACTCACAATGGATAACTTCCCAATAAGCCCATGGTAAATCTAAATACCATAAATTGAAAGAGCACTTAATACGCAACCTATCAAAAATCATAGCTTAGCAACACTGCATTGTTATTCCCTGCGTGAGCACTTGACTAAATGGAAGCTGGAGCTCACTGCCACTACCCAGTATCACAAGAGCCCAAGAAAAGATCAAAATTCAAAGTACACTCTCTACTGAATGTGCATTGTTTTGATGACATTGTAGAAGTAGAAAAAAAAAATCTTTCAAGTCAAACTATGGTAAGGGACCATCTGTATAGGGCTCAGTATCATCCTCCACATATATGGCCCCTGGATAAGGAGAAACTGTTGTATAGCACTGAAGAAATGCCTCACAAGCCAGGCACTAGAGGATTATTGTTTGAGGCCAGCCCAGGCAAAAAGTTTGCCAGACCCTATTTCAACCAAGAGTTGTGTGTAGTAGCGTGCACCTGTCATCCCAAGGTACAAGGGAGATTGAGATTAAGAGAGCCATGGTTCTAGGCCAGCCCTGGCAAAAAAAGTTTGTGAGACCCCATTTCAACATGGTGATGAGCACCTATCATCCCAGCAACACTGGAAAGTATAAAAAGTAGGATCACAGTCCAGGTTGGCCTGGGCAAAAAGTAAGACCCTATCTCTAAAATAACCAAAGCAAAAAGGGCTCAAGTGGTATAGCACCTGAATTCAAACCCAATATAAAAAAAAAAAAAAGTAATGCTTTGCACTTGTAAACACTTGTTAATAAGTTAAATAAACTCATCATAAACTACCTACCCTAAAACTAGTTCAGAAATTTCCCTTATGACATAGATAAAACTTTCAAATCACAGCATCCCATGGATACTCACTATTTTAATTTGTGACAATAACTAACACACTAAACTTCAAGTGACTTCATAACATCTCTTAAGAATATTTCTACACAGTTAATCTCCCCCAAAGAACAAAAAAAATTTGGCTACTTAAAATCTAACATATAATTCTACAGTTGCTTCCGAAAGTTAGTACACAAAATAAACAGAACTGACTCAGGAAAAAGTAAAGAGGAAGTTGTTCAGGTCACTCCAGATAGTCCTAGAATTTCATCCCTATCCCACAGCTGACCAGGCCACAGACACATTAGCACTGTAAAGAAAATAAAGCCCTATCCAGTTCCAAGTCAAAAAGTTCCTGGCCCACAGTAGGTGCTCAGTAACTATTTGCCGAATTGATTATGCTTAAAAGTAGAACTACTTCTGACCTACACCTTCTTTTTTCATCACCATCAAATATACCATAATTTTAAAAAAATTTTTAAAAGAACATCTAGGTTTGTAACAGCAAGACAATCATTTTTGTATAGGGATTGACTGGGTAGTTTCAAGGAGAAGGAGGAAAGTAGTTAAAATACAATAAAAGGAGTAGACACACAGTCTGAACTTTACAGTTCACTATATTATGATTCTGAATGTAGGCATCTTACATAGGTGGGGAAAGACTCAGGAAATTTACTATTGACATTAAGACTCTATTTAAAAATACTGAACAGAGCTCTAATTTCATATACATTATTATGAAATCAGTTTTCCAACAAAATCAGTACAAACAGAAGTCTACCCAAACTCAATCTTCCCAATGTACACTCCAACTCTACTTTTTTTTTTTTTTGGTGGTGCTGGGGTTCCAACTCAGCCTCCCGCTTGCAAAGCAGGCACGCTATGACTTGAGCCACTCTACGAGCCCTGTTCTGTATTAGGTGTTTTGGAAATAGGGTCCTGAGAACTATTTGCTAGGGCTGGCTTGAAACCTCGACCCTTCAGATCTCAGCCTCCTGAGTAGGTAGGATTACAGGCAGGAGCCAATGATGCCCAGCTGAATTAAACTTTTTTAATGCAAAGGTTATATGCAATGGCCTCAGCAAAAGTCCTCAGCTCAGCTGCAAAATAAGGATTGTTAAACGGTCTTCAAGGCCCTTACCAAAGTAAAGTCCAGGGTTCTATGCCTTGAACTTATGGGATAACTGATTACAGTTTTTAAAATACGTACAACTGACATTTTATATATAACTAATTTTTTTAATTAAAATATCTGGGGCTCTGGGGGTGTAGCTCAGTGATAGACCTTATGCTCAGTGTGTGCAGGACCCTGGATTCACTTCTTGGCACCAAACAGAATCACCGCCATCATCATCATCATCTAATTTAAGCAAGGGAATTTGCAAAGGCAAATACCCAGGTGTTCTAACAAGAATTTAAAATGAACAACTCACAGTTGGATGAATTCATCTAACTATAAACTCTTTCCTGTTCCCATGCAGCTAACATATTAGATCACTTGATAGTACTCATAAGAATCTAATCATTATACTTTAGTTAACTTCAGCCATGTGATCAAGACTATTACAGTGTTCTTTTATCATTTTAGTCCTTGTCTACCTTATTTAACATATACTCTTTTAAAATGCCCAAATGGTACAGAACTATTTTATGAATAGGATTCTCTATCATTATGACTTCATGAGAAATCAATTTAGAGAGTATATAATACAGGCTGCGTATTCCTTATCCAATACTTCTAGGATTAGAAGTATTTCAGAGTTTTTCAGATTTGGGAGATTTTTGCATACACTTTAGTAGTTTAGCATCCCTAATCTGAAAATCCAAAATTCTCCAAAATCCAAAACTACAGAGCATTCTGAGCCATTCATTATGCTTCAGAGAACTGACCTGGGGCTCAGAGTCTGATTTGGAAGCATTTTGGATTTTCGGGTTAGGGACACTCAACCTGTAAGACTATGCCTCAAAGATCACAGGGAAAACTGAACTCTGAAATAGATCTCTAAAAATTTCACCAATGAAAAATACTGTTAAACAAATTATTACTTATAAAAATCAACAGGTACTTATTCAGTGGGACATTAATTACTACAATAAATTTTCATAAATTTCAAAGTATTTTTAAATAAATTAAATGTTAACTTTACAATCCTCTGATCCCAGAAGTAGCCTCCATGATCTGAGACAAAATAAAGACGATTTTGCTATTATGTACTAAAGAGTACAACTTAAAGCAATATTACTACCATGCAAAGAATAATTCAAAGCACTTGAAATAAATTTATAGGTAAGATACTATGTTAATGTAAAAAATAGCTACTAACAAAATTCTCCTCAATCTCAAATATTTACTTAAAGGTCAAAATTACTGTTAAGAAGGCATACCTTCAGCTGCACAAGAAAGCAGCATAACATATAACAGAGTTAAGGTACCCAGGTCTGTGCATCAGAACTCCAAACTGTCCGGAACGTTTATAATATTGTATTCCTGGCCCATGTAACTATAGCTGTCATAAATACTATTTTGAATTTCATCATACTCAAAGCCTTAGTCCATGATATAATATAAACAGCAGAAATAAGAATTTCTTCTTAAGAGTCCTGAGACTGTCACAATTCCTGTCTAATGATAACCTGAAACAAAATGAAAAAAAAAAAAAAAAAGGTTCTTAGAGTCATCTGCTTTTTTCAAATTCAAGTCCCAGCATTTGGAAGCTCACCAACTTCCAGCAGTAAGGTAATCTAGGAAGTTTAATCAAAAGGTTCTTAATCTAAACATGTTCTTGTGGATAGATCAATGTTCTATACCTTGAAGCTCAGCCTTCAAATATTTTAAATTACCAGAACAATTAGCATCTATTAAGTCCTCACCAATAAAAACCCAAAGGGATCATTTCACAAAAGCACCCAAACACAAACTTGCACAAACTTGAATAACTTCTACATAACTTCCCAAAACATGATTTTGTAGCATTCTACTCTCACCAGCTGTGAACACTGATGCCTATACCTTCCTTACCTTATCCTTTTCGTGTGGAAGCAGTGACACTGGAGGTAAACAGGAAAGAGACTCACAACTCTCTTTCCCATCAGCATTGGTTGCTTTAGTGTTGAGCCTATAAAGAGGTCCATCTTTAAGGAGTCTGCCATGGCCAACGGCACGTTTGATAGCCAATCGTAACTGCTGGTGAAAGCCAGAGGCAGCACTGCCCCCAAATAATGCTGACACATCCTTCTGACCCTTCAAAAAGCGTTCAATACTTTTCAAAGTTGAGCCACCAGACTCTGCCAAGCCATCAAATGCCCGTTTAATCAGTTTACTCCAATCCACATTTTGTTTATTATCCAATTTTCCATGGTTTCGAGGTTTAGGAAGTGCTATTCGCCCAGGATTATCAGGATCTTTATAGGAATTGAGTCCTTTGTTTGAGACTTTTAAAATTGTTCCATCTTTAACACTCAACTCCAATTGTTCTAAAACAGTTTTACGATCCAAGCCATGAGATGAAGACACTGCATTGCAAATCCTTTCTTCTGAAGGACGTTGTTTCTGCTTCTTCACTTTTTTGATGGCCTCCAAAATCCACTCCGTATACAGCGGGTTAGCGAGTTTTACCATGGTGAAGAATTCTGTATATCCATAGAGTCGTTATCCCTTATCCTGATGCTGAGTAAATTTTACACCATAGAAAACAAGATTCTCGGAGGCTGGGAACCAGTTAACCATAGCATACAAGTTTTCTGGCCTGAGTCCTTTCTCCTTTCACAAAATAGACTGCCTTCCTACTTTTACTTTTGAAACAAGAAACAAGTGGTTATTTGAAATGTCTTCAAACTTGTCAACAGCACTGCATAAGTCTCTTCTTGAAGTTGTAAGAACTCCATACATCCATACATCTCATTCCCAACGCCAGAAGCAGAAAATGTACATCTTATGCCTGAAAAACAATTAAAACAATGTCAGTTTTCTATTAAGGCCCATTCTTCAAATAAGCTATAAACTGAAACATCCTAAGCTTTCAAAGCAATCAAATAACAAAGTATTTATTGAGCACTCCTGAGTTTTAAAACACTTCTATTAACATTTCAAAATAATCATGTATGTATATCATAGAATAAAAAGAAAAGGGGAAAAAAAAAGAGAAGAGTAATTAGGATACAAAGAGGAAACAAACTGAGACATTCTATGAATGGCCTTAAGCTTAGACTAACCAAAGGAGTGCTTGCTATTCTGTACTTTGAATTCTTTGCTCACCAGTCTATGACTTTCAACTCTTCTCCACATCTTTCCCCAAGAAACTATTCAGCACTTCACCAAGCATCTGGATTAGTGGAAAGAATCCTGTAATGAAAGTTAGAGTGAATCTTTCATCTTTCAAAGCTCCAGATGTTCGGAGTGGATAAAAACAGTAAGATAGGGAGAAAATCATTGAGAATATTTAAGCTACTTCATATAATAAAGAAGAAATACAAGTTTCACAGACCAAATTCATAATTTAAATACAATATTACCTTAATGGAAACAAAAACATTGAAAACAGCCTCGCGTGAAAGCACTTAAGAGTTTTAAAATGTTCCAATTTCATTCAAATTTTTACTAATATCCATACATTGGATGAACTACCAAAACTGATTACAAGCAATGCCCTGAAGTAAAAATGAGAAGGCCTAGAATCCTTGGGATCAAATAAATGTACATGTCAAATGTACATGTCAAACTTATAGAGTAATTAGGATACAAAGAGGAAACAAACTGAGACATTCTATGAATGGCCTTAAGCTTAGACTAACCAAAGGAGTGCTGCTATTCTGTACTTTGAATTCTTTGCTCACCAGTCTATGACTTTCAACTCTTCTCCACATCTTTCCCCAAGAAACTATTCAGCACTTCACCAAGCATCTGGATTAGTGGAAAGAATCCTGTAATGAAAGTTAGAGTGAATCTTTCATCTTTCAAAGCTCCAGATGTTCGGAGTGGATAAAAACAGTAAGATAGGGAGAAAATCATTGAGAATATTTAAGCTACTTCATATAATAAAGAAGAAATACAAGTTTCACAGACCAAATTCATAATTTAAATACAATATTACCTTAATGGAAACAAAAACATTGAAAACAGCCTCGCGTGAAAGCACTTAAGAGTTTTAAAATGTTCCAATTTCATTCAAATTTTTACTAATATCCATACATTGGATGAACTACCAAAACTGATTACAAGCAATGCCCTGAAGTAAAAATGAGAAGGCCTAGAATCCTTGGGATCAAATAAATGTACATGTCAAATGTACATGTCAAACTTATGGATCTAAAGAGAAATGAAGTTCAAGACTGCTGTCTCAAAGTTGAACATTAATGAGTAAAACAAAAGCATACAAATACATTGCCCCGGGTCAATGTTCTTTCATGCAATTAATCTGGCAGATGCACATTTTCAATCACTAAAACAATGGGTGTGGAACCTCAGTAACTCCTTTGCCTCCAAAACTAAGTTTAACTTTACTGAGGTGTTTTTTAGAACTTCTGCTCTATTCCGTAAGGAGCAACTATTCTTACTAGTGACATTAAAAGCAAAAAGAAAACCAATAGGTATTAGAAAAGAAATAATGTTATTAACTTTGTCAGAAAAGCAAAGACTGAAGCAAAACACTCAGCAAAAACCTGAGCCCATATTTATTTTTATTAGCTGATTAAAATGAAGCCCCCTGAGAGAGCTATGCTGCATTTTGATGAGGGTCACAAGAGGATAGAAATCAGAGTAGTATTACTCCAACAAAGTTCATTACACAGACAGGACAGATGGGTAAACTAAATGAGAAGCTACGACCCGAGTTTACGGAGCTAAGAACATCCTGCTCGGCTAAGTTCTCAGGTACAAGAATGAATGACAGCCGCTCCTGGTCCGTCCGCTGGGCTTTCCATCACTCCGCAGGTCTGCGGACTTGAACCCTAACTCTCAGAAAGTACAGCAGCGGCGAGAAGGCGCGACTGGCTCGCGACAGGCTTCCCCGTCCCCGTTCCCCACCCCCAAACGCGTCTTCGCGCTCTCTTTTTAAAGAGCTAGAAACTTTACAAACTTGAAACGGCACAATCGAGGTTGCTTCGCTGCTTCCCGAAGAGTAAGTTAACAATGAAATCACGTGGAGTCAGAGCTGGGGGTCCCCGCTTCCCTCCAAGGGGCCGGCTCCCCCGAGGCGCGAGCGGCAGGCCGGCGGCGGGGAGCCTGACAGCACCGGCCGCCGGGTCCGCGGCGGCCCGGTGACAGGCAGCGCAGCGCCGGGGCTGACAGCCCGACAGACACCACACCACACGTGCTGCCTCCTCCGCACCACAACACCCGCCAGCCTGTCACCCACTTGCCGCGCAGCCCGGCTAGGGGCTCGGCGCCCTCGACTGGAGCCCGAGAGTGCGCGCGGGGAGCGGGCCGGGCGGCGGGCGCAGGTGGGGCCGGCGGTGGGCGCGCCCCCGAGGGAGAGCGGGCTCGCCACACAGCCAGCCCGAGGCTCCGCGGCCTGGCGCTCGCCGCCCGCCACCGCCGGCTCCCGGAGTGGAGCCAGCCGGCCGGCCGGCAGGGGCGATGGCGGCGGGCGGCGAGCGCGCGGGGGGCGGCGCGGGCCCGGGGCGGAGAACCGGGCGCCGGCCGGGCGCGAGGGGCGGCCGCGGCGCCCAGCCCGAGGCCTGGCGCAGAGCAGCAGGAGGCGGCGCAGGCCGCGGCGGGGCCTGCAGCGGCCCGCCGACCCCGCGAGGCGGCAGAGTGGGCCCAGGAGCGGCTCAGCCTCGGGCTCGGCGGCTGGGGATGGCCGGGGGTGGCCCCTAGGGCACTTACCGGGTGGGGAGACAGCCGGGATCCCGGGGCCCCCGGTCGGACCGCGGAGATGCCCCAAACTGACACGGCCGCCATCTTGGAGACAGTGAGCTCCGGCCGGGGGGAGGGGAGGCGAGGCGGCGGAACAGCCGCGGGGGGAGGGGAACGTCGCGAGGGAACGGCTGCTGGGGGAGGAAGCAGGAACAGCCAGGGCAGGAGGCGACGCCAGGAGAAGGAGGAGTGCGGGAGGGTGGCGGTCGAGAGCAGGAAGAGCGGGGCCGAGCGCCGGGAAAGGCCGGAGGGCGGGGCGGGGCAGGAGGGAAGAGCCGGCTGTGTGGGTCACGTGGGGTGGGTACAAAAGGCCAAAGCCAAACTGGGAGGAGGACTTGATGGGGCCGGAGGCCAACAATTGGGGGCGCCTTCTCTCCTTTCTCACGCGTTAAGGTCAGGCAGATCGTTGGGACAGAGGAGAGGGTTCAGCAACGCTACACAGCGTGGGGGGATTGAGGGCAGGAGCCTGGGCGGGGTGGATACGGCCGGGCCCCGCACGGAAATCCGGAAGCTGGACTGATGAGAACTCTCGCTGGCGGCAGTGTTTACAGCTCGCAGAGCCTCCCTCCTAGTCATCGCCTGCACCGTGGCTTCCCCCGTGACCCCTAGGCTGCGGGCGGGGGAGGGGGCATCAAGTTGCTTCCCTTGTCCCTCCCCTTTCTGCTCACTTCCCCAGACTGGGCACAGAGTTGTAGGACTTCGCTCGAGCCATCGCTACACGAAGCGGCTCGTGTGACTTGGACAAGGTCACGCAGCCAGTACGCGCGGCACACACCTGAGTGTGAGCCTCGACCTGCCTTGTTCCAAAGCCCAGCTTCATCCCATCCGTGCAGAAATGCTGGCACGAATTTATGGCCGTACCGCGAAGTGGCACTTTTCCATAGCGTGCCTGTGCCCTATCCGCTGCATGTGCCTTTCTTTGTCTTGTCTGTTACACACTTGAAACTCTGAGGCAGAGGTTGAGTTAACTTGGTTTTTTTTTTCTTCTTCTGCATTCACTGGAAAGGCTGTAACTGACAAATGACATAAGGAAGTGTATTGCTGCTACCGGGCCTTTATCTGCTTTGTGCCCCAACCTACACTCCTCCCCAACGCCTCCTCATTTTATCCCATTTTTGCCCTCTTTTAAATTTATTTGGCGAAACGGGGTCGAACTCGGGGCCTGGAGCTTGCTAGGCAGGTGCTTTACCATCTTTGCCTTTTAAAAAAGACCTACTGATCGTTCGCTTGCTGCCTTAACTTTGATTACTTTCTTTTCTGAGATCATTCCCTCTATTCATTTCGCACGTAATATGTGGTCTTTATTTTTGTAAATATATTCCTATATAAATGCCTTTATGGTGCCTTTTTGTATCTCCACTGCCTACCATAAAGTTGTGCACATTGTAGGGGCTCAAAAACAGTGCCTGTAAGTGAACCAACATTTTAAGCCACTAAGAGGTCGTTTCCATTCACCTCGTGCTAGGTCTTGTTACACCTCAATCCATACTTTCCTGTCTCCGTGGCCCTTCTCCACTCATCCTTAGCCTGATTGTTCAGTACTATAGACTGCTAGTCATTCAATAACAGTAATAGATGGTGGGCCAGTCAACTTTCACTATGCTGACATTGACATTGATAACGTAAGTGTGGTATGGGTGGGTTTACTGGATCACTTTTCACTACCCACTTCCAAGCCCCACCTCCAAATTAGTAGAGAAATCTGGGGCTGCAAGATAATCTAACAGAAAGATGCATTCTCAGGTAAAATGGGAGGAGGAGATTGTTACAGAACAAGGTAAATTTCTTATCCCCCCCCCCACCAAAGAAAACAGATACAAATCATGTTAAACCGAAAGGAATTGAGTTATTCATGTGTGATTAGAATATGTCATTCTCAGAAGAAAACAAATGCTCAGGAGGTGAGTTGTGTTTGCTTTTGGATAATCTGGACGAAAACTAGCCATAGGCATCCCTGAGAAAAGACCAAACTGGAGCTTAACCATGAACTAGCATGAATTTAAAACAATTTGCAACAAAAAAACAGTTCAACTTTTCAGACAGCTTCCATAGAGTTTGTGCTTTTACATAACCAAATGGCATATCAGGAGGTCTCCTCGAAATCTTGCAGCAAAGACAAATTAAAGTTCTTGTCTTTTTGCAAGTTAAAAAGCAATCTGCAGCTCCAAAAGGACAGTTTTTCTTAGCTCAACTCTTAGGCTTTGTTTTGGGTTTGTTTTTATTTATTTTGGAGACAGTTCAGCCCTATGGGCGCATTTTGCTCTAGGAATCCTGGTACCTTGTTTTATGAAATCAACAGAAAAGGTTTTAGTCCATTTATATTTACTATAATTACTACTATATTTAGATTTATGCCTACTATATTTCTCTATTTTGATTTATATTTTATATCATTTGTTCTGTCTTGCCTTCTTTTGAATTAGTTAAAACATTTCAATTACACCATTCACTCTATTAGTTGAGATGTTCTTTTACTAGTTTTGGGAACTACATTTCTTTTTAACTTATTACACTTAAAGGTAAACTATTACTTTTACCAATTCCCCAGGAAGTCCTAGACTTTAGAATATTTTGCCTTGTGAACTAAAGCTCTCTGAAGAAGCTATATCTATATTAAAGATCCTGTAGACTGCTCGACCTTGGCTAACTAGACCATGGTGATTGTGAACAAATGAAATGTTGTTGGTGGAAAGGCAAAATTACTTCGGCTGTCTTAGTCTTTTTTTAGTTATTTTTCAGTTAGGAGATCAGGTTTTTGCCCAGGCCCTTCTGGACCT